AAGCACATTAGTTCTAATACTTTTCATAGGTGCTGTATTTATTTTAGTTTTATACTTCGGTTGAAGAGTTTCACAACTAAGATATTTTTTCCAGAACATGAATTCTTGGGTTTATAGAAATAACTATTCTGGAGTTACTTCTATTTTTTAAGTTAATTCACGAAAATGTGAATATGCTTGTTACGATCACAGAACTCAAAGCAAACATGAGCCGGACTTGCTCTTGTGTGGCTGTAGTCTTAGCATGTGTAGTAGAAATATAAGGATCAAAAGTTCAAGGACAGCTTTGAACTGGTGAGTTTTCACACCCACCTGGGGTTTATGAATCACTGTTCCTCTCTTGTTTTGTTTGTTTAAATAAAATGGAGTTTGATAGCACAGTGGAACACAAACAAATGACAGGAAAAAAAAAGAGCATCTGTCATCATTTAGAAGACTCAGTTATATTAACTTAGTCAGTATTTGAATACTTTGGAAACAGTGACTGTGTCAAAATCAGAAAGAAATATCACCCATGATCATTATTACCTCCTATATGATGCTCTATTTTTTTGGCTGTTTTTGAAATTTTACTTGAGATATGTCAAGTGTCAGGTTTGGCCAGGTAGTGGTTCACTGCCTCACTCCCTGCTCTATTTTTGTTCTGTACATCTTGTAGGTGGGGTAAATTTTGGGTGAAAGTTTAATTATAACTTGATATCTAATAAAGAATTTTCATAAGTTAGTGTCTTTCTGATAGGAATAAATGCTAAGGTGAATATATATATATTCCATAGTCAGAGGTAAAATCTTTTAGTAATTTATATTTTGATATGAATTTGAATTTCAAAATCTGCGTTTAATTCTTCTCCTGGAAGTAGAGACATATATGACAGGTTTCCTACTTTTAAACTCCCCCCCCCCCCGGACTTTATTAAAAGGTTTGAACACTGTGGACATGACTAAATTTCTTCAGACCTTACCTAAATAGCGCCATCTATGATCTAGGTTTTCAGAGACAATGTATATAGTTTAAGAAAACCAACGTGGTTTAAATGAGACTGAGCATGTGAGTACTTTGTCTTTAAAGATGAATTTTGTGGGGTGGAGGTAAAAGGTAGATAGGTGAATGCACATGGAGACCAGAAGCATCTTCTGTCCCTGCAGCTGGTGGTACAGACAGCTGTGACTGTGCCACAGGAATGCTGCACAAAACTGCCAGAGACTGTGGCAGTTGAACTACTGATCTGTGTCTGCAGTCCCTGTAAATGACACAAGATATGTCAGAACATGCTTATGGCAGGAATTGCTGTTTAATTCAGGTTAAGAAGCATATCTAAACAGTAATGGTGTCTTCAGTCTTCAAAGATCTGGAGTATAAAGTTTTAAATAACTAAGATTTTAATTATGAATTATTTTAATATGTAGTCTAAGTTTTGAATAACATTGGTGTTTTTTTTTTTGTTCCTTAAATATGTTCTCAAGTTCCAAGAATGATAAAAAATTCTCTGATGAAAGAATCTGAAATCAGTCCTACAGCAAAATTCATAAATAATAAATAGAGATTTATTAATCCATATTTTAGTTGAGTTGGGTATCAGAGCAAGTTACCTCCTCAGGGAATGTAGTGATCTTTATAAAAGAAGGTGATGAGACATAGTCTCCAAGGAATTAGATTATGAATACAATCTTGGTATTGTACACGCTAATATAAATATGTTATTCCCTTTCCACATCTATCACCACACATTTTGAGTTGTGGCTGATCTCATATGCAAATAACCGTCTTATTTGAAATCGTGGCTGTATGTGCTAATGTCTCCCTGGATTTCTTGAGTGTTTGCTATCATGTCATCAAAGCAATAAAAATGAATGATGATTACTGCAAGGCTTTGAAGAACAAAAAGAAAGTCAGAGCATTTTAGAAGTTTTAGATGTCTGAAACACTGGCAGTCAGTGGCACACAGATGAACAGGTGTATCTTTAGATCATTTTAAATAAAATCAGTGCATTTATGAGTAAAGTACTTTCCACAATTTTCTGCTTGTTTCGAGAACAAAATGTAGTTATGATTATAGTTCAGGTTAGGTTTTATTTTGTTTTTTTGTTGATAATTCAGTTAAAGAATAGAATATTATTTTTCCAAACACAAGAATAAAGTTGAATTTTTGAGATTGTGATCCAGTATTATTATCAATCACTAAAATAATTGAAAGGAGTAATTATACGCTACTTTTCTGTCTTTTGTATAGATCTTCAAAATTACTAAAGTTTTATATACAATAATATCTATCAATCTATTTATATAATATATATAATATAATATAGAGGGAGACTATACATATAGTCTGTTTACAGCCTACAGATTCTTATGACTATTTAGATTTGTTAATATTTTTGTTATAGTATTATGAAAATGAATAAAGTTCCATTTCCTTTAGTCAAAAGGTACTGGCTCTTATCACTCCAAGTAATGAATCAATACAATACTAGTCTCTTAAGTGTTACTTTTGTTAAAAGACTAGAATACAAGGGTAGTGTAATGACCAGGAAGAGAAGGGTAGTGTCATGAACAGCCATTTTGCACACAGACTTAGCAATTTTCTTTGTTTTGTGTGTTTATCTTAAGCACATTCCATGAAGGAAAAAAAGCTATATTGAAGAAAGTATATTATCTTGTGTTTTATTCATGCAAACTAACTTCTCTCCTGAAATGGATATGTCTTCAAGCTCGACACAATTAAGATTAAAATAATGACTCCACTTTACTATTAATAAATGCAAACACTATGCAAAATAAAACTGCTATATGAATACATTATATCTATTGACATTATTTATGGCTTGTCTTGACAGAACTATTTTTAATGTTTTGATTTATAACAAGTAAGACTGTATAGGCTTAGATGATATCTTAGTTTCATTTAGAAAACTTTAAGTATGTGTCTTCTTAGATGTAATAGCACCATGGTTTATTAGACTTAATTTATTTGACTTTCTGTTATCAGTAGATATTTTACATTTCTAGGTATTGTTATACAATCAGTCTGAAGATTATTATCATAAGAAAAGCTTTTAGATGGGCTTACAATTTCCTTACAGGTGGGTGGAAGTTCTTCCTCTGGTGATGCCTTTTTGCTGTGTTGGATGACATCATTGTTGGCTATTTCTGTGGGCATATATAAAGAATGTAGTTTTAACTACAGACTTCAGATGTACTTGGTATATGAAAACCCTAATAAAGCTCATTAGGAAAATTCTATCAGTTCATTTGGAGCCTGAAAGAGTGTCGCCTTTATTAATCCAGTCAAACCTGAGAGACTAGAACAGAGTGTCCTGGCTCAAATTCTTATCTGAGCTCTTGAGGACTCTAGACTGTGAAACTCAGAGCCCATCCCTGCCTTTCCTAGCATAACCCATGGGAAGTCTTTGTTTCTGAGCGAATCATGTTCATTTAGAGAAACTTCTGTGTGCTCCTCTCTGTGATGCCCTCCTCTGTGTGTCCCTTCCTTCAGGGTGAAGGCAACAGCACACTGCACACCTGCCCCCCATGGCAGGCAAGACGTGGAGCTCCCCCAGAGCATGAGGGCCCACGAGTGTTTTCATTCACTGAATCCTGTGCTAAAAGTTTCTGCCTCCTTAGTTTTTGCTAATCTTCTTACCACTTACAGGGAGTTGCGCCTGTAATTTTGCTTTTTATAAGTTAGCCTTTCCAGCCTCTTTAACCCCAGTGACTTTATGTATTTCCATTTCTCAGTTTTTAATTAAAATATAATTATATAACTTCTCTCCTTCCTTTCCTGTCTCCCCTAGACAAAGAACTACTGGCAGCTAATGACTGCTGAGGGAGGGAGAATTAGCTGCTCCCAGGGACAGGGCCCCTAACTGGTATCCAGGGTGCACTCAAGTCACACTAGGCAAGCAAGGTGGATTGTCTTTATATACACATATATATGTAACAATAGGAATCAGAGAAAAAGCGGCCTTCATAGTTTTAATCCTAAACTGACTTCTTGCTTGACCATGCCACGTTCACCTAGAACTATGCTAAAATGAGCAAGGAGCAACTTCCAAGCACTAACGCTTGCATCGCATTAGTGAATGTTGGTAATGTGTAATATTACAATGTAGTAAATATGGCCCACAAATATCTAGCAGCTCATGAAATAATTTAAATATTTTCTTAGGGATGACAAATTACTAAAAATACTCCTTCAACTCCTTGGATGACTCCTTGGACAGTTTCTAGAAATGGGTCCTTCTCATTTTGTCTGAGACTCATTTGTATTCCAGTGCTTTAGGTGAGGGAGAAATAATCCCTGGTCATGCCTGAGAGTTCTTCATACTTACATTTGAAAATGATACATTCAAACTCCTATAATAAAAACTTAATTACTATTTTAATTAAAGTTCGGCAATATAGTCTAACTGTGAAAATAAGTAAAAGTGATAGTAGATTTGGTGAGAAAAGGATAGTTTCTGATGCAATAAATTTAATAAAAATAGAATTTGAAAGTTGATTTGAGGATTAACTAAGGCAGCACAGACTGCAAAGGTGAGAATAATAACACGCAGTAATACTTTCTGCTGCCGCGTTACAGGGACAGAGCAGAGCCTAAACCCATCCACCTTGGATACATTTGTGAGGCATTTTAAAACAAAATTCACACTCACTTTAATCACAGCTGACATACTTTAATCTTTTCATTTTAAGGTAACACAGGGTGTAACTGCAAAGAAAATTGCCATTTACAGACACTATCCTCTAATATCCTTGTTTAATTGGTCTTAGTTCTTGATGAAATTAATGTGATCTACAATCAATGAATAATGGTTTTATCACCAGTGATCATATAGCTGAAGATTTATTTGAGGAGTGTTGCTTTCTTTGTAAATATCTAGTTGAATTTAAGTCAGCAGCATATCAACCCACTTCTTTAAAAATCATTTTAAGGACCTCTTTGAGAGTTTTCAGATATATGTTTTAAATGTTTCATTGTAATTGTTTTCTTTCTTTTTAGCAGGCGTTTTGAAGATCAAAGATGGGTAGAAAAGACTCTTCCACTACGAAACTTCCTGTTGATCAGTACAGAAAACAAATTGGTAAGGAATGAGCTTCTAAAAATGGAAATAAAGAAAAGGACTGTTATGTATTTTGATTGGGAATACATTTTCTGTAATATATATATACACAACTTTCAGAAAAATATGAATAAATAAATAAGTGCCTTAAAGGATTTCAGAAGCAAAAGCATATCTAACCATACTTGCTGGCAAAGAACATACTTCATATATTTGCTTTTACTAGTGCTTTTGTGATTTTATCTATTGTATAAAAATGAAATATTATTATTTTTAGGAATAGTTGCTGTTTTACAACATTTTATGTACTATCATGTAATAAGTTATTTTTTTAATCTAAAATTTTAATTTTATTGCCTCATGATGGCAGTGATTTATATTTTCAGAATACTTTATTAAAATATGCTGAATAAAATACAAATTCCATTTCACATCTCGAACTAAACTTAGAAAGAAGAAAAGAAATTTTCCAGGAGTCCTTGTTAAGTGGAGACTTAACAGGGGACAGGATTTGGGGATTAAGATCCCATGCATATCCTCAGATACTAGAATAGAGCCCCTTGGAAAGATGGCCATCTAGAGAGAGAATAGCACCAACAGAACAGGAAGCAGCCTGCTCCAAATGCAGGCAGGCTTCCTGTCTAAATGGACATGAATTGTTTGCCTATAGAATACTCATGCACTATGTAAAACAGAAGGAAAACCCTGAGATTTTTTTAGAAATTGTAGCCTGGGGACATATTTTTTTTTTAGCCAACTATTTTTTTTATTCTTTATTAATTACACTTTATTCACTTTGTATCCCTCCTGTGGTTCCCTCTCTCCTCCCATCCCAATCCCTCCCTTCCTCCACCCTCTGCATGCATGCTCCTCCCCAAGTCTACTGATAGGGGAGGTCTTCTTTTCCTTCCTTCTGATCCTAGTCAATTAGGTCTCATCAGGAGTGGCTGCATTGTCTTCTTCAGTGGCCTGGTAATGATGCTTCCCCCTCAGGGGGAGGTAATTAAAGAGAAGGCCAATCAATTCATGTCAGATCTGGAGAGGACAGGAACTCCACAAGGAGAGCAACAGAACCAAAAAATCTGAGCAGAGGGGTCTTTCCTGAGATTGATACTCCAACTAAGGACTATGCATGGAGATAACCTAAGACCCCTGCACAGAGCTAGCCCACGGAATAGGGACACATTTTTTTAAAAAGAGTAATAAAGTAGACATCAGAAGCTAAACAACAACTTCCCCTTCTCAACATACCACTGTCTTCCACTTTTCTCTACCTTTACCCATGATTTCTTAAACAAAAAATAATTAATTAATAAAATCTTATTTGTAATTGAAGAATAAAAAATTTCAATTGAATTCAGATAAATAAGTAAAATAACTGTTACAAGATAATATACATTTATTTTATAATATTCCCAAAGTATGCAATCTAAAAATTAAAAATACAAAAAAATAATAAGCTAAAAAAAAAACAAAAATAAGAATTCATAGGCCAGCCAACATCAAACTAAATAGAGAGAAACGTAAATTTATCCCACTGAAATCAGGGACAAGGCAAGGCTGCCAACTCTCTCCATGTCTTTTCTACATAGTACTTGAAGTCCTAGCTAGAGCAATTAAAAAAACTAAAGGATTGGGGAGGACCTCCTCCCCTTTCATCTGACCCTGTTTTATCAGGTATCTCCAGGTCCTCCCCAATCAGTGGACTTGGAAAGGGGCAGGGAGGAGATAAGATAAGGGAAGGAGGGAGGAGCGGGATACACCTGGGATACAGAATTAATAAAAAAATTAAATTAAATTAAAAAAAAACTAACGGAGATTAAGGGAGTACACATTTGGAAGGAAGAAGTCAAAGTATCACTATTCGCAGATGATGTGATAGTATACGTGAGTGACCCCAAAAATTCTACCAGAAAACTCCTTCAGCTGATAAATTTTGTATTCAGCAAAGTGGCTGGATACAAAATGAATTCAAAACAACAGTAACAACAACAACCCAGTAGTCCTCCTGTATACAAAAGACAAAAGGACTGAGAAAGAAATTAGAGAAATAATACTCTTTACAATAGCCACTAATAACATAAGTGTGACTCTAACCAAGCACATGAAAGACCTGTATGAAAAAAACTTCAAGCCTCTCCAAGGTTTTCCATATATCCCCCCTTGCTCTATTTAAAATTCCTGGCATCTTTTTCCCCATTATTGTTATATATGTATTACTTCTTAATTTGGTTGACTCAAGTTATCAGATCAGGCTGTAGACAGACCAAGTTAACTTCTTTGACAGAAAGCAAATTGATAGCCTCTATCTTATTTCAGGTAGATTATTTGTTGGTGAACTTCATGGTTTGGGCCTCCACTTTTCACATTTCCCTCCCATTCTGGTCTTCTGAGCCATCCCCCAAGAATTGTCAGTTAAGCTCTACTACCATAGTGGCTTAACAGATCTGCTCACTGCAGATCCAAAGTCTTTCACTTCCTTTCCACAAAGTGGTTCCAAAGGACCCCAAAACAAATGATGAGGTGCCTCATAGGCATAACCCCTCTCCTGGTACCAATTTTCTGTTAGCTCCTCTCATCATCATAGTGACAAAGTACCTGACAAAAGCAGCTTAAGGAACGAAGGATTTATTTCGAGTCACCATTAAAAGGGCATAGTCCCCCACATAGGGAAGGCATTTTGGTAGGCTGTGGAGTAGCTGGTCACATTACACCCATAGTCAGGAAACAGAGAGAAATGAATATTGTTTAATTCAGCCACAGACGCCAGCCAGTGGCACTTGGCCACACAGTTCATTGTAGGTATCTTCTCTTCAGTTAAACCTTGTGGAAACATCTTCACAGACACACCCAGATGAATGTTTTCATAGTAATTTCAAATTTAGATAAATTGACAATTTAAATTAACCACAACAGCTGGAATTAATACAGTTTGGCCAATGTAAATGGTATTTTGAATGTAGTATCAAATTTAGCCTTCTACTCATTTGCAGATTATTTTAGAAACTCTGATAAATATGAGGTAATTTTCATTTTGTGACATCTTTTGTTCAGCTTTGGAATATAAGTTAAACTGGCTTAACATGAAACGTTCTGTCTACTATATTCTTTTCTAAGTGTCTGGTAGAATTCATCTCTACAGGCATCTGGTACTGGGATGCTTATAGTCAGAAAATTTCTGATTACTGATTCAGTATCTTTATTTGTTATTTGTCTCTTTAGGTTTTCTATTTATATTTGATTCCTTCTTGGTACTACAAGTTAAAAATGTTTCTAGGAATATATCCATGTTTATATAAATATTACCATTTCTTCTAGTTATTCAGTTTGTTGGCATATAATTATCCATAATAGCCTGTTATGTTCATGTTTGAATTTATTTTCTTGAATTTCTCCTCCCTCTTCTCTTCATTTTGGTTTTTGTTTACTCTCCTTAGTTTGAAAAATCCCTGCTTACTTTTGTTGATCTTTTTCCTATTGCAATTTAGTTTATATTTTATGAGCTTAATATCTAGTATTTATTATTTCATTCTCTCTATTAATATTGCACTTAATTTATTGTTTTTATAGTTCCTGAGCTATTTTGTGTTGCTTAGTTGTGATGATACTTTTGATGCAGGTAGTTTTTTTTTTTTTAGTTTTTATTTATTTATTTAATTTCCAGTAGTTATTACTTTAAACTTCATTCCATACTATGTCATCCATTTTCTGCTGCTTTATCAAAACTAAAATAAACCCAGTAGTGTTTAGAAAATAAAGGTTCAGGAGGCTATGAGCTGGCTGACATGTTGCGTGTGCCTCCTTTTCTGTTTCTTTATATACTATCAGATATTACATGGAAACAGAAAAACCCTAAGTCTCCCCACCCTATGTTTCTTTCCTTACAGTCACCAGATCCACATGAATGTCCCATCCTGATGATCCCATATATCCCTAATTACCTCCAAATAAATATAAGCAACATTCGGGTTGTGAATTATATTTCAGCATGAATTTTGAAAAGGATATTCAAACTGTGGCACCTACTTGTGCTGCATGCAATTAATTTGTCCATTTTCATGTCATAAAATATTTTTTCAGCAGTGATTGGTGGAGAGTTAGTTATTTGCTTTCACATCATATATGTAAATTTTTCCATTTGATTTATGTTATTGATGTGTAATTTCCATTGAATAAAGAAGATATTTTGAGTGACTAGTTTTCTTTCTTAAGTTTGTAAAAATTTGTTTTGTGTTCTAGTATGTTATACATCCTGGACAATGTTAGCATGCCCTCAAAAAATGTGTAATCTGTCACCACAGGATTGAATACTCTACGTTAATCTATGGGTGTAGTATATAAATCTGCTATTGCCATCTTGGTGATCTGTCTATAAAAGAAGCTTCACACTATCAGTATATTATTTTCTTTCATAATCTATTTTTCTATCCTCTGTTTATCAAACTATCTAGCTGTTTAGCTACTTATCATCTACCAAACTATTTTTATCTATATATCTAGCTCACAATACATATATATGCCTATATGTGTATATGTTTATGTATTTTATGTATATACTTTAAATTTAATACATACAAAATGTGCTTCATAAACCATGGGTTCCGAAGTAGATGGAATCATCTAAACTCAGAATAAAAAAGGCTCTGACCTTAACATGACTGCTGTTTGTTTGTCCTCATTCTTTTTCTAAACAATAAAGTTTATGTAGGCGTTGTACTGTATTAGAGACTGTAAGAAACGTAGAGATATTTTGAGGTTTACAGGGTAGGTCTGTACTAACAGCATGTGTAGACACCATCTGAGTCTTCCTGGTTGTGAGCAGCTACCAGTTCTTTCTGGAACCATCCCCTGATCATAGTTTTTATAAAGTTTATTTTTGTCCAGTTTGAACCTGGTCATTCCTGTGCTTGCTCTCTGGCTGGCTCTAGTGCTCTCTCTCTCCAGCTACTGCTGTGTCGGTCTCTGTTTCTGTCTGTCTGTCTGTCTCCCCCTCCTTCCTTCTCTCTGTCCCTACTTTTCCT